CAGTGATTCTCACTTGAACCTGCTGTTCTCTTCTTTATTTTATGCCAGTCACCACCCTGCAAGCACAATACATTCAAAACAATGGATTATCTGACCTCTCAATCAATCTAGTTTTAGGTTAATGCATTTTATGTTTGCAGGCACATCTCCAAAATAGATTACGCTTCTAGTCCTAGTCACTGAGTCATGTTACTATCAGCTATATTGTGTACAACACATCCGGACGCTGGGATGGAAAATAGCCAGTGTGTGCTATATCATAAATAATGTGACACAAACAGCACTGAGGCCGATCGGACTCGACAGCAGAACACACTGCAGTCATAAAGGACTGACGTTCTGTTTTTTCTGTCAGTCAAAGTAAAGCCCATTTTAGACACACCTATTATGTGTGTTGTGATTCTCATGCAGTATTTTGATGCTGTGCAAGAGGAAATTCAGAAGATTGGAAATGGGGAAAAGAAAACACACAACCCTACCACCCGACACAGACTTACTGAATATAATTAATTCAGTAAAATGGTTGTTCTGTGACACCAGTTAATTATAGAGGTGTGATAACTGCCTGTTTTGTGCAGGTTTGAAAGAACTGGATGATGGATTTACACACTCAGGCACACGCACATGCAAAGCTTGTTATCAGCCATCCGCAGCCAGCTGTGCCATCCTTGTCCCGCATACTTACCTTAGACCAAGTCACCCTGTTCACCGTGGGTTATTCTGGAGTGTTTATGAGTCTGCAGTCTAATCCCACAGGGAGCTGGAGACCAGGCCCTGTGCCTGTGGAAAGTAAGAGGAGAACCACAGTTCTAAAACAAGAACCATATCCCACCGTTCCCCCTTCAGGATTTAGGAATCTTCTTATCTTATATATGACTGTGGTTCTGTGAGTTTAAACTCCTACTGTCCATATCTCAGATATTTCAGCAATACTCAGTTCTAAATACCTCATCCAGGTCTGACTACAGTGAAAAGAGGCTACACTACACTGTTCTAGAAGTTAAGATTTTAACTGACATCAAACTAGTTTTAGGTATTAAAAGTACAGCAAGGAACCTTCACAAGTGGGCGGCTGTGGCTCATGTGGTAGAGCGGGTTGTCCTCCAGTTGCAAGGTTGGCGGTTCGATCCCCTGCCCCTCCGCAGTCCAAGTGTCCTTGGGCAAGAACCCAAAGTTGCTCCCAATGGCAGGCAGCAGCTTGCATGGCAGCTCTGTCACCATCGGTGTGTGAATGGGTGAATGAGAAACACACTGTAAAGCACAATGTAGATCATTTACCAAAAGTAATGCCATGAGTAGTTTTAGTTCATCAGTTCATTTCATACGAAGTGCAGAAAACACTTACAGTAGATTAGTTCAGTAATCTTGGAGAACTTGTTCTGCTTTGGATTCAGTCTGTCTCAGCGTCGTCTGCCTTTTCATGTAATCCACACTGACTCCATAATATAGAAATCACAACATCTGTTGAAGGACTCCTTGCTCTTCTTATGGCTGAAGATGTTGTCTTGCTGCAGAATGAGGTGTCTTCTGATGGATAACAATCTAAACATCTAAATAGGTAACAGAGTAGAAGTCAGTGTAGTACATGACTAGATTTGTTACTACAGTTATTATTCCTACAGCAATGATAATAATTCTATATGTAGTTATTGGGAAGTTCAGCAGTGTTATCGTAGAGCTCCTGTTAAAATCTCCACCATGTTTCATGAATGTTGGCTAGTTAGTTATTGCATAATTTAGCTGACAGACAGACAAACAAACAAAAACAGCTCTGAAAACAAACGCCACATTGGCTGTCATCCTGGCAGAGGAATGGATGCACTGAACAACTCTGTAGATGGTCCTATGGGTCAACAAAGTCAACGATCTATTTGCTCAGTGCTAGATCTCCTATCCAATCATCTCACATTGACATGTTTTATTAAATGGTTTCTTGTCTAGTTTTGACTTTTAACAAGGACTGGATCGTTATTGTGCATGACAATAAATTTAGTGAAACAAAATTTCCCCTAACAATGCTGATATTATCTACATCAGTGTGTCAGGTTGGGTTACTCACTTCATAAGATGTAATATGACTGTGGCATTAGATTTTACAGAAGCAAATCTGACTTTACAGGCTTGAACAAGACAACACTGTGCTTTGGCACTGAATTCATCATCGTTATCTCTGAATGTAAAAATGTGCCGTTTACAACACATTTTGAGTGATGGACAGTTTTCATGTTTTGTTTTTTTTATCGTGTGATAAATGTGATTTTGTGTTTTGTGAAATATTTTCTAGATGGTTTACAAATTACAGTCGTCCTCAAATGTATTCAAACCCTCCCATTAAAGAACAGCTGCCACTGAATAAGTTGAAATTGACAAAAGTGATAATAAATAAAAAATGAATAAAAATCATGACATTGCTTTTGAATTGTGGTTCAACAGAAATATTTAAAAAAACAAAAAACAAAAAAACTAACGAAAACAAAAACACACAAGCAAACAAGCCTGATGGGACCCATAAACTAATATTTAATTGAACAACCCTTTGAGCCAATCACTGCCATCAGGGGTTTTCTGTAACTCTTAGTCAGACTTCTGCACCTGTTGACAGCTGTTCTGATTTCACTGCTCATCAGCAAAGTGCTCTAAATTGTCTGGGACAGTTTTTTTTTTTAATTATTCTTTTCAACCACAATTCAAACGCAGCCTCCTATTTCACTAAATTATAATTTGTCAATTTTTTTATTATTATTACTTTTTTCAGTTTGAAGTTATTTCATTAACTATTGTGAATTTTGCCTTTTCTTTAATGGAAGGGTGTGAATACATTTGAGGACGACTGTCAGTGTTTCCATGTGCCATTTTGTAGGATGTGTACATTTTCTTCAGATTAGATTTTGTGAATGTCAGGTTAACACATCTCTACACTACAGAGTAATGCATTTTGAAGTAAGCGAGCGTCAGATTACACTATTGCCAGTAAACAACATTCAAGATCAAATGATTTCTACATTGTGTCTGTCGACCATTTGAGGCTATAATGGTTCATCAGCTGTTTCCTCTCTTTTCTGGCTTCCTCCCTGCAGGAGAAACCTGACCAAGCTGTCGCTGATCTTCAGCCACATGCTGGCTGAAATCAAAGCCATCTTCCCTGGAGGACACTTTCAGGGGGACACTTTCAGAATCACCAAAGCTGATGCCGCTGACTTTTGGAGGAGATTTTTTGGAGAAAAGTAAGCTTCACCTCATCTTGGCTTGTTTTTCTTTTTTGTTTTGCAGTTTGAGTTCACGCTTTCACTTTTGGTAGATCAAGATTTATTCTATGATTAGGAGACGTTACTTTTAGGATCTTGGCGAGCTCAGTGTGGGTGGGTTGGGTGGGTGATTGATGTATTTTCTCCTTGAGCACACTATCAGTTTCTTAACAGTTCAGACTTGCACATGTTGCTTTTTACACAACATGTCATCTCAAAGTACTTCACATCGTAAGACTTGCAAAATGTATGCAGAGAAAGCCAACAAATCCAAAATGTACTTTGGATTCCCTTTGAGCAAGCAACAGCAGGAACAGAAAAAAGACGGAACCAGACTCTGGAGGACAATCATCTGCCTCAACCGGTTGGGATGAGGGTCAGGGGGAGACTGGACAGTATAGCTGAGAGAAAACAGGCAACGTAAGCCTGCAGTCTGAAAGCAAAGTGCTCTGCTACGATAACATGGTACAATAAAGATAGATTGATGAACAACAATTATCTTACAAGTAGTTTCCCACATGGGTTCATGGTTAAACTCTCTTGCAGGACGATTGTGCAATGGAAAGTCTTCCGACAGTGCCTTCACGAAGTGCATCCCATCAGCTCAGGCCTGGAGGCCATGGCCCTCAAATCCACCATCGACCTCACCTGCAATGACTACATTTCTGTGTTTGAGTTCGACATCTTCACACGCCTCTTCCAGGTTGGTAAAAAAAATCAAACCACATTTCAAAGCAAGATTAGCTCAACAGGACACAGACGCCATAGGAACTTGATTGTAGCATGTTCAAAGTGTGGCTGAAAGCGCAGATGGGTGGAAGCACATTTCTGCTTATTGCTGTACCCACCCAGTGGTCAAATGATGCAGTGTTTTTGGACGACCTACAGAAGGGCTGGCAGGTCCATGCACTAAGTTTGGTGTCAATGCATGAAACAGTTATTTAGATTTTTTTTTAACCTTTATTTAACCAGGAAAGACCCACTGAGATTAAAAACCTCTTTTACAAGGGCGTCCTGGCCAAGAGGCAGCACAAGTTACAATTTAAAAGATATGATCTCACTCCCTATTGGGTGGCTTTGCTGCTGATTTTAGTTGACTTTAACAGCTGTTTCAAAAATCTGAAATTCATCTGATAACATTTGTGAGGTTCAGTATGAAGATGCCACGTTTGGTGAAGACTGAAGCAAATTTGTAGCTTGTGAAAAGTTTTCAACCAGCCAGCCGTCCATCCATTGTCACAGATATTTTACTTCCAGGATTCTCCCCTTATATAAGATAAAAAACACACTGCAGGGTTGTCAGTAAATGTGTAATTGTGAACAATAATGGAAATTAAATTACACCATTAAAATGGAAAAGACCCAAGAAAGAAATACAGTGTTACAACATTTATAGTGAACAAACTTTAAAAAATAAATAGATTGTAAGTTTAAACCTTATGGCGTAGTGTCCGAAGTCCATACCATGTGAGAAACCTGAGGCCATCGTTCCAAAGGCAAAACCCTTTTAGGGGTAAACATATCTATTCTAGTTGACCTCAAACCTTGACCTTTTTGACCCCTAGGTAACTCTTCTATAATTAGGCTTTAACAAAGTTGCTCTACTAACACTGAATACTTTCACATGAAGGAAGAGCGACTCTACTCCAAGCTCCCTCTGGATGTTCGAGTTTCTCATCCTGTCTCTACGGCTGAGCCCGGCCGCCCTATGGAGGACACTCATTTCGGTTACTTGTACGCGCAATCTCGTCCTTTTGTCACTATCCAGAACTCACGACTGTAGCTGAGGGTTGGAATGTCGATGGACTGGTAAATTGAGAGCTTCGCCTTCTGGCTCAGCACCCTCTTCACCATGACGGTCCGATACAACGCCTGCATTGTCAAGAGCAGATCCACTGAGTGTGCTCGTCTCCCACACAATAGTATGTGTCTGCAGAGCCGGAGGCTGCACTCCGAGGGCCACACGCTTCTTCTACAGCCGCACGTTGAGAGCCTTTTTTCAAGACAGCGCCACCTACCACAATGAATGATCGCCAAAATGCACAATGATGTCTCTCAAAATATTGGTATAATTTAAAAGGTTGATCCAAGAACGATTCACTTGAATTTCTGGATTCAAAACTACGTTACAATTGTGCTACAGAAAATTGCATCCATGTATTTGTATATATATTGCACATGTAAGTGTTTTTTTCAACACATCATTTATGAAGTGTTACCTGCTCAGCAGTTAAGTAAACAGACCGCACGCCTCATCAATAATGTTAGCACTCTTCCCTATGAAATACTTTGGTGTCTGTGTGTTTGGGTAAAACCAGTTGTTAAAAAAAGGCAAAAAGGTTTGTTGCTCCTCCCCCTCGTTATGTGAGTCGTTAGTACTCCCCCTGCCACAATGGGGTTCGTTAGGGTCTTTTGTAGCTAGGTGTGGATGTGGTTTGATCTTCCTGGGGAGAGATCTTAGGACTGAATTGTAAACAGGTGAGAGGTGATGCCTCAGACCTCCACCTCTGTTGAGGGATGGTCTTTCCAGTTTGACATAGATGGCTTCTTTCACTCCTCTCTCAAAACATCTGTCCTTCCTGGCCAAAATCTGTACGTTGTTGTCTTCAAATGAGTGTCCTTTGTCCTTGAGATGCAGGTGGACTGCTGAGTCCTGTCCTGAGGAGCTGCTCTTCTGTGCTGAGTCATGTGCTTGTGGAGCGGTTGTTTAGTCTCCCTGATGTACAGGTCTGGGCATTCCTCACTGGACTGGACTGTGTACACCACGTTGCTTTGTTTGTGTCTCGGTGTCTTGTCCTTAGGGTGGACCAGTTTCTGTCTCAGGGTGTTGGCGGGTTTGAAGTGCACTGGAATGTTGTGTTTTTTTGCCAACTGAAAGCCAGCCAGAGAATTTAAACTGAGCCTGGTCAGCTTATGACTTGCTTGTTACTGAAGAACTAACTCAGAACAACTTTATCTGGATAATCAAAAATGTAATGTAGTAATTAATGTCTACACAGAAAATTCTGTTCAGCTAACAAAATTGGGTTGTCTTTTTCAGCCATGGACATCAATTCTGAGGAACTGGAATTTCCTGGCAGTGACGCATCCCGGCTACATGGCCTTCCTCACTTATGATGAAGTCAAAGCCCGACTGCACAAGTACATCAACAAGCCCGGCAGGTATGTCATCCGTGTCATGTTAGCGTTACTCTAGTGCTCCTAGACATTAGACATTCTTAATTATTATTTTAAAGGCTTTAATTAGAGGAATAGAAAACTTAATTTAGAATGTGTTTCTTCCATATCTGCAGGATGTAACAGTGTTTAAATGTCAAATAACTCTAAATTGTACTGTCTTACAGTCGCTTATTTAAAATGGTGACTGTGAAATTTTAGCTATGATATATCAAATACTTTACAGGAGAGCTGTAATATAGCCTTTGATGTTCAGAACAAATGATGATAAGCTGTGTTTGGTGTGGTTTTTTGTTCCTCCATGTGGCAGGTTCCTAGAGAAATCAGAAATCAGAATCAGAAACAGATTTATTGCCAGGTATAGTTTACACAGTACAAGGAATTTGTTCTGGTGGGTTGGTGCAACGATACAACAATAAATATAGAGTAAACAATTAATATACAGTAAAATAAAATAAATAAAAATAACTGTAATAGTGCAAAGAATAAAAATTTAATTTAAATAAGAACCATAGAACGGTATTGTTATTTACAACTATGTTTTAGGGTGCTGATATGTTGTTATTTACATTTATACAGATATAGAGGGGGCAGGGGGCGTCAGTGGGGCTCGTTCATGAGGCCGGTGGCAGCCGGAAAGAAACTGTTTTTGTGGCGTGAGGTTCTGGTCTTGATGGACCGAAGCCTCCTGCTAGAGGGGAGTGATTTGGAAGAGTTTGTGTCCGGGATAGGAGGGGTCACCCACAATCTTACCTGCACGCTTCAGAGTCCTGGAGGCGTGCAGGTCCTGGAGAGAAGGCAGATTGCAGCCAATCACCTTCTTGGCTGAGTGAATGATATGCTGCAGTCTGGCCTTGTCCTTGGCCGTTGGTGCAGCGTACCAGATGGTGATGGAGGAGGTGAGGATGGACTCAATGATGGAGGTGTAGCAGTGTACCATCATCTACGTTGGCAGCCTGAACTTCTTCAGCTACCGCAGGAAGTCCATCCTCTGTTGGGCTTTCTTGATGAGAGAGCTGATGTTCAGGTCCCACTTGAGGTCCTGGGTGATGATGGTGGGGAGAAGAAAGTAGCTAGCATGTTTTTGGAATAACCCAGATCTTACAGAGTCAACACTCAGTGTATTGATCAGATCTCAATAACAGCATAAATCACTTAGAAACTGGCTGCTTAGAGGCATGTTTCTCTGCATCTGTGATTGTTGCAGCATTCCATCATCATGTATGCAGGCAGGCTGGTTTACTGTCCTCAACAAAGCACTTCCACTCAGAGACATACGAAGCTTATGAGCGTCAGTGAAATATTCTGAAGCTCTCAAACTGTCTTCCCGTGTCTTTCCTTGGTCAAAGCCAGGCTGGATTTAGCTCGGTGCCTTTGTTGCTGGTGGAGGTGGGATCATACTATGGTCAAGGCTTGCTCTAAGCCCTGGACTGCTTTATAATACCTCCCTTTTATCTCCATCCCTTTTTTTCACATTTAGATTGCTCCATCTTATGCCAAGCTGTTTCCTTTGTATTCAGCTATGATTTGCACAAGGTGACCCCCCTGTGCTTGAAAGACACAGCAGAAGCACCGTCGCTGGTTTCGTTTTATAAGAAGGACAAAGGTAGAAAGTTCACGTATCACCATAGAAATTAAAGCCAGGTCTTTGAGTTGTAATCACCTCATTTGTTCACCGATGAACTCAGATGCCACAGACATTCTTGTTAGTCTGTTCAGTTGAATCGTGCTATTAGAGGCTGTGCTATTCCAGGACAAGTGGATTTTGAGTAAATCATGCCCAAAAGTGCCAAACAGGAATAAATAAAGTAAAAAGAACTGTTGGAAGAATACATACTCACATTGTTATGAGTCAAAATTGGTCCTGGAAGCTTTTGTTGTTGGAGCGTCAGTGTTTTACATTGAAACACCAAAAAAGCACAATGTCTCTATGAACTAAACTGGCATCAGCAGCCAAGTACTGCCTGTGCGTTCCGGCCACTTTCACCCCGCTGGAGCGATCTTCCCTGGAGTGGAGGTGGTTCCCCCAACCGTGCCGAATATTTGGATATTCATCATTAATAGAATCTGTGTTGTTAAGACTGTCATGAAAAGATCAAATAAAGGTCACATAGGACAAAAAAAATTGGATTTGGGTCACTTCAGCCTGCTGTCTGAAGGTATTTACCTTTGATGTCTAACCGACGGCCCGTGCACAATCGCACCGGTCAATAGACGTGACATCCAGCGATGCGTAGTGTTCTAACAATACACTAGTTATTATAACAACTATAAACAATAAATATTAACAACAAATGAGCCTTCAAGCATCAAGCCCTCCTTGTAGCTCGACCTCCGTCTTGATAATCCAACAGTCTTGCTATCTGACATAGAAGAAGGTTTTACATTTAGTGTCGGATTATCGAGTCACGTCTGTAAATGTGTGTGAGTTATGACAGTCTGTCCTTTCTCTTTCTCTAACAGTTACATCTTCAGACTAAGCTGCACACGTTTGGGCCAGTGGGCCATCGGCTACGTGACCAATGATGGCAACATACTGCAGACCATTCCCCACAACAAACCGCTGTTCCAGGCTCTCATTGACGGCAACAGGGAGGGATTGTATGTAACCTTTCACATATTGTCTTCCTCTCAAGGTCAGTCTCTGTGTGTATAATGATTAGTTAAACTCTTCACTGTGTACAAATGAGAGCTGTGTCTCAGTCACATCTGATGCATAGTCTATAAATGTCTAGTGGCAGACCACAGCGCGGCGTTTTGTGAAGGTGTCAGCCTTTTCTGAGCGCCGCTAGATTAAAAAAACATGACAGACAATATGATGTGTTTGAGCTTAAAGTCTTTCTGTGATGCCATCTGTTTCTATCATGTGATCTGACTGGCCGAGACAAATCGGAGATGCTTCCTTTCTGTTAGTGGGCAGCATTTCATCTTTTCCAGCCATCAATCGCAGCTTGTTGAGGCTGTCCAAAAAAACACTGTGTCTTCATCCTGTTTGAGGCACATCTGTTTTTGGACGTAGCAACTCTGAGGAACTGAAGTTCACTTGAGTTGTTGCTCTTTCTGCTGCTAATCATTGTGGTTATATCCAGTTTGAATGAGTATATTTGACCTATTATTATATGCAGAGAGGTGTATATTTAACTCATGTGTTCTTTTCTTTTAATTAAAATTTTATTTTTAATTAATTAATTTTAATTTTAATTTTACTTTTAAATATTATATATTGAATTTCCCTTCTGATTGAATTTCCCTTCTGGGATAAATGAAGTATTTTTCATTTCATTTCATTTCATTTCATTTCATAACACTTTTTTTTTTTAATTAAGCATCTGCTCACAGAAAAACACTGAAAGTTCTATATAACGTACGACAAACGAAGAACTATTAGAACTACTAGACTTGATGCTGCTTTAAGTTCTAGTATCGTTTTATCTTTGTTTCAGAACCTTTACTGATTTTTTACATGTTGTTAAATATCATCATTAGAACATTCAAATATCAAAACCTTCTTCTGATTCACAGCTACTTGTTCCCCGATGGTCGCAGTTACAATCCTGACCTCACTGGTTTGTGTGAACCGGCGCCTCACGACCACATTAAAGTGACACAAGTAGGTTTGACAAGGACAGTAACCATCAAAATTAATGGTTATGGGATAGCTCTAAATTAGTGATGGGAAGCAACTGAAAACATAGTGGAATTTGACATTAGGGTGAGAAATTTCTCCATAATGTACATTTGTTATGAGCACCACTTGATGGCTAACAGGAGTTTGCTGCACCTGAACAGGAGCAGTATGAGCTGTACTGTGAAATGGGCTCCACATTCCAGCTGTGCAAGATATGTGCTGAGAACGACAAAGATGTCAAGATCGAACCCTGTGGTCACCTCATGTGTACTTCGTGTCTTACGGCCTGGCAGGTATTGTAATGAACTAATACTGTGATGAACCTTGAAGCCTGTTTGTGGGAACTAACTGTTTGTGTTCATGGGGCATTGTGGGTTTGTGTTAAATATGACATCAGCTTTGTCCCTAAGTGCAGTGTTGTGTCCAACTGGGAAAACATGAACATTTTTAACTTTCAATATGAAATTTTAGAGTTTAGAGTCAGATTGAATCTGCGTAGAAGTGAGCCAAGACTTTAAAATAATACCATAGAAACAGATCTCAGCCTGCAGTGCAAGAAAAAAGCTCTCCCTCCCTCACTTCCTCCCCGTGTCCTTGCATCTGTCCTAATCCAATTTCCACAAATCAGTCAATAGCGGAAGTGAAAACTGAGAGTGTATGCACACAGTATATTCCATTATTGGAGCATGTGGTTCTCTGCTTCTTGTTGTAGGATGTTTTTAGTGCTGTGTGCTGCTCATTGTCCGTTATTGCTGTATTCAATGTGCACATATACTTGCTTGTGTATCAGAAGCTCTGCCAGAAAAGTGTTTGTAATTACCTTTTCCTTATGAGTCCTTAGCGTGGAGCCTGAGAACTCCCTCCTCTGCTCCTCTCCACCTTCGTTATTTTATGTTCCTCATCTCACCTCCTTGCTCTGTGTGGGACACCTCTGTTACAGTCACAGTGAGACGGTCCTGCAGACATGTACGAATGCTGTACTGACCCCGATGCTATGATCCCTGGCAGGGACATGCCCGCTTTTGTCGTGTATCAGTGACGTGTAGGTCGGATAACTGCGACCTGGCCGTTCAGACAGAAGTCGCTGTCTGAACGTATTTACCTTTGATGTCAACCGACAGGCCCGTGCACAAGCACATTGGTCAGTTAGGCGTGACATCCAGCGATGCGTAGTGTTCTAACAATACACTAGTTATTATAACAACTATGAACAATGAATATTAACAACAAATGAGCCTTCCAGCATCAAGCCCACCTTGTATCTCGACCTCGGTCTTGACAATCCGACATAAAAGAAGGTTTTACATTTAGTGTCGGATTATCGAGTCACCAGTGTACACTCATTTTGTTTCAGGTAGATATAAACCAAAACAATCTTACATTAGTTTGATAGTTTTACAAAAGCACTCATTATTTTGGTGTTTTGTGATCATGCAGCATTCACTCAGCCCTCCTCAGAGGTCGTTTGCACATCTGTTGCTAATTTGACATAAAATCAGAATCAGAAAAAACGTTCTTTATCCGAGGGGCACTTAGGTGGGCAAAGAGCGACGCATTAAAAATGAGCAAGAGAAAGAAAAACAACACACAAAAACCACACAAAAAGGTGGGTAGGCGGAAGCAGCACATGATGTGCAGTAGCAGGCCTGCTGCCAGGAACAGAATGAAGCTGCTAGTAAGGCAGTGATGTCCATATAGGATCAGAGAAGTCAGCAGCAGGTTATGTACAGCAATAAGTTAAAGAAAAGAGTTAAAGAAAATAATAATAATAATAATAATAATAATTACAAATTAAAAAAATTAAAGAAAGATTTTCACTTTGCCAAAAAAAAGGAAAGAATAAACCAAACCAAAGTTACACCAACATGTTTTGGGATGTCCGAGCACAAATGTTTTTGTCTGGGTTATTCAGGATAAATAACATTACTACAGGAGCTGCAAAGCGTTTACTAATTGATGATCTATGGTCCACTCAATGTTATTTCAAGACTTCCTGAAAACCTGAGAGGTTTTAGAAAACCTAAATGTTTGATCAGCGTCTCGGAGCGCATGCAGCAGTGTTTGGGTTGATCCTCGTTTCCCAGGAGGTTTTCAGACTCACTGGCTTTAGCCGGCACATAACTATAAGTTTAGTGAAAGAGTCTTTCCAGAGTTCAGTCCTGTGCCCCAGCAGCACCCACATTAACAGTGTTTGTTTGTCATTCTTCCTGTTATGACAACTGAGTGTGATGCTGCCTCCTTCACAACCGCAGCCAGCGATTCAGTGATATATGTCGGTGTGTGTGCTTCAATAATGAAGTATTTCTTTCCACATTCATGAAATAGTGAGTCAGAGAGAGAGGGAACCCTCCTCCGTTATGACAGCAGTGGTCCGTTGTGGCCGTTGACTCAGAGGTGCTTCCCTGACTGTCCTCTTGCTCTATGTATTAGTCAGCTGGGGTGGAACAGACATCCTCGCTCACATCTGGCTGATGATCAATGGAATTCCACATCCTGTTCTCTTTTATGACTGTTTCTGATTTCTGTAGAGTGTGTTGGAACATGAGAGGCTTCCTTATTCTAGCTGTTAGTTTTATCTTGAATCAGAGCAGTGATGATTCAGAATGTAGACTATAGGGCAGGTTTCAATTCATTTTAATTCAATTTAGCGCAGTTTACAACATATATCATCTCAGAGCGCTTAACACGCTAAGATATCGACCTTACAGATTGAACCAGAGAACCCGACAATCCAGAGTACTGTGCAGATGTTGTCGACTAATACTACAGTGAAGATACTTTCAAAACCAGTACTATGATTGGTTTTCTTTAGTAAATAATATCTTTACATCAGTGATGGATAAAATATCTGTTTATAGGATGAAAGGTGTGAAAACGGCGTTTTAGCAGCTGTCCCTCTGCAGATGTTGGAGATAAAACTCGACCTAAAGGAAGGCAAATATTGGTATTTATCAAATGAACAGAAATATGAATCCAAATAAATGTTAATATAGCTTATGCTTTGTCTTCTGGATGTGTAAATAGGCTCCCAACTGGCCAAATTCCTCAATCTGAAAACGTTCACTCCTCAACCAGATTTAATTCAGTTTTCATTTCAGCATCTAAACATAACAAGCTATCCATCCAGTCAGTGTGGGGAGGGTTACTGCCACCCAGTTTTTGAACTTTTCTGTCTTATTCAGCGCAGAAAGTAAGCAGAGAAGATATTTTTCTTTTCACCGTGTCAGTTCAGTAGCGAGATTCATTCAATTTGTCCTCAATTCAGTCGTGTCTGTTACCGAGCTGTTGCTTTAATGTCTGAGACCATGAAACCATTTCATTCATCCTCTGACTTGTCGTACGTTTAACCTCCCACTCATCCCCTTCTCCTCCCACTCTGATTAGGATTAAGTTTCAAACATGCCTTTGGTACATCCCGCGTTAAGTCCCACAGCATGTGGCTGCCACAATTGCTGCTTTGTTCTCTATAAATATTGTCTGCCTTTGATTGTAGTCTGTGGGTCAGAGAGAGAGCTGCACTGAAAACCAAACCGTCTTTTACGCTTCTATTTATGATGTGCTTCACAGGAAACTGCACATGTGGCCAATGAATGTTGTACAGTTGCAAAACAGGTTTCACTTGAGACAGCCTACACAAACATGTGTGCATTGACTTTGCCTTTCAAACATGGTGGGAGAGTCCGCTATAGGGCAGTGCTGAAACCAGTAACCTTGTGCAACCCAGCTGTTTGCAGCAGCAGCCTCCCAGCCTGGCAGTCCAACTGATAGATACTCATAACAGAGAAACAGCAATGTTAGTGGGTTAAACCTGTGTCTGTGTGTCTGTGCACGAAATAACCTGTTTCCTGCACACGTCTCCCTTATTCATAAAGGAATCGGATGGCCAAGGGTGCCCCTTCTGTCGCTGTGAGATTAAAGGCACAGAGCCCATCATTGTGGATCCCTTTGACCCTCGAAATGAGGGCACCAAGTGCTTCTTCCTAGACCAGCACAGCTGCCCAATATTGGACCTGGATGACGACGAAGATCGCGAAGACTGCCTGGTCATGAACGGACTGGCTAACATCAGGAAGGTAAAGACTTACAGTACAAGCTGTTGTTCTGTTGATAAGGAAGTGAAAGAGCTTTACGATATCTGATTTCCCTTTTCTTCTGGTTGTTTGTAATACATGGACAATACCAGGGGCCATTTTGTGTGTTTAATGATTAGCAAACCTGATGATTAAACCAAACCTGAATTGTTTGTTTGACCAGGAGTGTCCAAGAATGAAAGTTTAAAAATGCATTAGAAGGTAATAAATGTAATAAATGAGCTATCTGTCCATAGACATCAGTCTAATAGGATGGGATGTCCACTCAGTCAGTTTAAAGCCCCTCTGGTGCTTAAAAGACACAAGAAATTAGATTAATTGATTTTGTGCCTGTGCTATTGTTCATAAGTTTACTATCAGTCTGAGAAATTTGAACCCACAACCTCTCTTACAACTCTTAACAGCAGCGGGCAATAAATTATTAGGAACCCATTTAAGATGTTTTTTCTTTTCTCTCAGCATTGCACAGAGCGCCAGAACTCGCCCATGGTGTCCCCCAGCTCTTCACCTGTCAGCCAACACAGGAAAGCCCACGGGGGAGACCCCAGCCACTGCGGCCAGCACCTTAGCCTTCCCCCCGTCCCCCCAAGACGTGACCTCATCCATAAAAGTGCCATCCGCTCTCCATCTGCCAGTCCCACCAGCTCCCCGAAGGTCAGTCACAGGATCCTCCAGGCAAAGACATTAAAAATGGGTCACCTGAATTTTCTGACACATGATCACAACATTGAGCATCACTGAGTTGTCACATAATTATTTAGAACAAATACAAATGCAATGTTTAGGAAGAGCTTAAAAACACTAATTATTACTTTACAAAGAATTCAAATCATTTCGATCGTTGCCATTTCAGTGAGCAAACTGTACTTTTGTTACTCTCTAGTCTTCACCAGGCATGTCCAGGAAGCAAGACAAACCTCTACCAGCCCCACCTCCTCCTCAGAGGGACCCACCTCCACCTCCTCCCCCTGAGCGACCCCCTCCTATCCCCTTAGAATCACGCCACTCTTGGCTCCCCAGTTCCTCTTCCTTGTCCTTTTCTATGTCATCTTCTACTAGTGCGCTGTCAGACACCCAGATGCCTCCTGACACAAGGTGTCCCAAAGACAGCCACTTGGCAGATGCCCACAGGACTGGAGTCGAATACCAGCTCCAGCTGGGACCCGCTGGGTTCTCTCACCTGAACGGAAGACCACTCAGTTGTCCATCTGGGGAATTTGGGAGGTTACATCACAGAATGGAGGGGGCAGGGAACTCAGAGAGCTCCAAGGTAGGAATCAGATGTCAGTTTCACTGTTGAAAGCAATAGGTTGGGGTATGTGCAATAAAAGCACATTTTTTAAAATTACTTTTGTTTACTCACTAACAGAAAGTTGTAAATGTAAAATCTCAACAGTTGTAGAACAGATTTGCATGAAATTTGGTTTGGACATTCTTCTCAGAAAGAATAAGAACCACTTGGTGATCCTCTAAGTTTTCTTCTAGTGCCGTTATCAGATCCAAATTTTAATTTGTCTAATATACCTACAAAAATGATGGCGTCCATCGGCCTCAGCTGAACATGGAACCAATACGCTAAACTAAGATGTGACTATGTTGAACATAACACCACTTATTGGTGAGTCTGCAATTTGGTGTACATATTAATGGTATTTAACAACTTTGGTGATGTGGCTTTTTATGAAGCCTAATCAGCAGCTCAGTAGCTGGAATTTCTGTTGTAGTATATTTAGTATTTTAGTATCAACTTTTTTGTTCATTGTGAACCCACATATCCGTTTTTAGTGAGTTGCCACAGCTGCTGACTGTTGAGTGGCTATATGAACTTTCAGTATATTGTTCTGACTTTGTTTGGTCGTTGGTAAGAACTTCGCTACCATCTTCCTACACCAAAATCAGGAAGGAGCCCTGGAGTTCCTATGCATAATATGCTGTACTTAACTTTATTTCAATTAATCAAATTCAGCTGACAGAATTTTTAAGCTGTGTTTCTGTAATTGACCCCCTTCACTTTTGTGTGTCTGTGCAGCCCTTTTCTAATGGTGTGCAAGGCAGCGATGAGTACGACATCCTTCCCTCGCGGCACTCACCAACTCAGCCCACACTTGCCAGTAGCCACAAGTGAGTATTACAAGCACACAAACAATTAGGACATTTACCCAGCAGTATGTGAACACATTACTTGGAAATATCACACAAATGTTTAGGCAAAATTGAAATGACGACTCTGCACAGCCACTGTGTGTTGATGTTGGCCAGGAAGGGCAGTGTGTGGCCTCTGCATCCATGTATTGATCATGAACCTGCCTCTGACAGAGCTGTGTTTGAAATAGTGCATCAAGATGAAAGTCTGCATAAAACATAAAATGATACTTAAGTAGTGGACAAAAGTCTGTTTGATCACAGGGCCAGGCATACCATGTCTCTTTAAGACTCAGCTTTATCGTATTCCCTGTATTAGACTGGTGCAAGGTTCTTTTGGTCACAAAAGTGAGACTTACATAAAACGGGAATAGAACAAACAGATGCAGTCCTAAAGTCTTGAAGCAGATTGTGAGGAGAGGAATAGCAACCTTGTCTTGTGTTTCACATGAAATTCATGCTAAAACAATCTTTGTAGTAGAGATATTTCTATTTCATATGAGGTTATGGCTCCTGATTCTCCTTCTTTCTTGGTCTGTGGTTTCAATTCAATTCAATTCTATTTTATTCATATAGCACCAATTCACAACGTAATCACTTCACATAGTAAGGTGAAGACCTTACACATTTGAAACAACAGAGAACCCAACAATCTACAGCTGCCTTTGGATTTTGTTACGCTTTTATGCAGTGCTTCCTAATGATATTGCCTAAGGGGAGCATGTACAAGGTAAATAATATAGGTCCTAACACAGAACCCTGTGGAACTCCATAACTCACTCTACTGTGGGTGGAGGAAACATCATTAGCATGAACAAACTGGAATCTGTCTGATAAATATGATTTAAACCAGTTTAGTGCCGTTCCTTTAAGCCCAATTAAATGTTCCAGTTTCTTTAATATGTTGTGATCCACTGTATCAGATGCAGCACTGAGATCCAGCAGAACCAGTACAGAAACTAGTCCACTGTCTATTAGAAGATCATTAGTGACCTTCACCAGTGCTGTCTCTGTACTATGACGCAATCTAAAACCTGCTGAAACTCTTCAGACAAACCACTTTTATGCAGATAATCACATAATTGGCTTGAAACAACTTTTTCAAGAATTTTAGAAATAAAAGGGAGGTTGGATATGTGCCTATAGTTTGCTAAAACACCTGGATCCAGAGTAGTGGTTTTATTATAGCTACTTTAAAAGCCTGCGGTACGTATAGAGAAGGTGGTGATATTTAATACTGCAGTATTTATTAGAGGAAAGATTTCCTTGAGCAGTCTGGTTGGGATTGGGTCTAACAGACATGTTGCTGGTTTAGAAGGATTTACTATTGATGTGAGCTCTGAGAGATTTACAGCAGAGAAGCAGTCCAAATATAAATCTGGTCCTGTGGATGCATCCAGAGCTGCTGCACCTAAAGACATGTTCATGATTTTTTGTCTAATATTCAAAATTTTATCAGTGAAGAAGGTCATGAAGTCATCACTACTGATAGCTAAAGGAACACGAGGCTCCACAGAGCTGTGACTCTTTGTCAGCCAGGCTACAGTGCTGAAAAGAAACCTGGGGTTGTTCTTGTTTTGCTCAGTTAAGGATGAATAGTAAGCTGTTCTTGTCCCGTGGATCGTTTTTTTATATGTGATAAAACTGTCTTTTCAGGCCAGATGAATGTTTTCTGAATTTGTAGAACACCACAAGATGCACAGTTGTTCATTATACCATGGAGCTATTTTATTAGTTTTGAAATATGATGGCTGAACATCTAATAGCCTTTTAGCTGCAGCCGGAATTGGATTAGGTATTTCTGTATACTGGGCTGCAGCTGAGGCAGGGTATAGAGCTGTCACTTTGATGAAGGTTGAGCCAAAAGGGAAAGCTGTGGTTCTTCTAAAAACAATGTCGTCTTGTAAAATGTTTTGAGTTTGTTAGACTACATAGTGTACATGGGTCCCGTTACATCTGGTGTAAAGCTCATACTGCATTCCAGTAGAAGAACATGATACCAACAGTGAAGCATGGTGGTGGTAGTGTGATGGTTTGGGGCTGCTTTGCTTCCACAGAACCTGGAAGACTTACGAATTATGGAACCATGAATTCTGCTCTCTATCAGAAAATCCTCCTGAAGAATTTCCACCCATCACATGACCTAAAGCTTAAGCCGCAGCATGACAATGAGCCAAAGCACACAAGCCAGTTCACATCTGAATGGCTGAAAAAGAACAAAATTAAGTGAAAGTCTGGACTTGAATCCAATTGCGATGCTGTGGCAAGACCTGAAAAGTGCAGTTTATGCTCGAAAACCATCTAATGTGGTCGAATTAAGACTATTCTGCAGAGAAGAGTGGGTCAACATTCCTCCATGGTGATGTAAAAGACTGATCACCAGCTATGGAAAACATTTAACTGTAGTTGTTGCTGCCAAGGGTGTCCCAACCAGGTATTACATTTAGGGGGCAATTACTTTTTCACAGGGCTGATATAGGTTTTCAATGAATCTTCAATAAATCGTCATTCAAAATCATGGTTATCTCTACAGATCATCCAATCCCTTCAGCAGTCCTGTGGTAGAACGACAACGGGGAATGATCGAGAGGCTGGAGGACGACTATCAGATCCCGTCATCCAACCTCTGCTTGAGCCAGGCTCCTATCTGCATCTCTGTGCCCAACAGGTACTGATGATCTGTGGGTTTAGATAGGTTGCCATGGTGACAAAGCATTGCTGGTTTCATTTCAGTTTAGTTTGGCAGCTGTGAACCAAAAACACTTCCTCTCTCATGCAGGCACTTGGAGAACAGCCCTCCAGAGGCTTCCATCAAGGAGAAGAGGCCCCTCTCCCCTGAGCCTGGTGAGCTTTTTATTTCAGTTACTTTTGGAATCGTCATCTGATAAAGCGAGCGGTGCAGTTAGCAGGTAGCACTGACGCTTCCAGAAGAACTTCTTGTTAAACAAAGTGATCTTGACCTGACTTATTCTGACTTCTTAATTAAACTGTATGTATTTTAAAAACAAAAAAAAAATCAATTTAAAAACATGGGCTACAATGCGGCACAGTGGTTAGCACTATTGCGTCGCAGCAGGAAGGTCGCCGGTTTGCGTACCAGTGAGGACACCCGGGATCTTTCTGTGTGGAGTTTGCATGTTCTCCCTGTGCAGCGTGGGTTCTCTCCGGGTTCTCCGGCTTCCTCCCACAAGGTCCAAAGACATGTTGAGGTTAATTGGTGATTCTAAATTGTCCGTAGGTGTGAATGTGAGTGTGCTTGGTTGTCTGTCTCTAAGTGTAGCCCTGTGATAGACTGGTTACCTGTCCAGGTGAACCTGCCTTCACCCTGAGTCAGCTGGGATAGACTCCAGCCCCCTGTGACCCTAGTGAGGATTAAATGGTGTATACATGATGGATGGATGGAATTTAAAACGTAGCTGACAGTGGAGCATGTTGTGAATCTCACTCACTGTTTGTGTTCCTCAGGTGGAGACTCTGAATCAGCCAGGGGCCTGGTCTCTGTGACAAACCCCTGCCCCTTCAAAACCAACAAGACCCCCTCTGATTACGACATTCTGCTCCCTCCCCAAGGTAGCCTACCTCAACCAGAACACAACCCCAACCACACTTCCTCCTCACCTCCTCACCTCCTCACCTCCTCATCTCCTCACCTCCTCACCTCCTCATCTCCTCACCTCCTCACCTCCTCCAGCTCGGTCAGCTGTCGTACGCTGCCTGTCTGAGGCTGTCCTCTCTGTCCCTCAGTGTTTCTTCTGCACACATGAAAGCACACCTGTGTTCTCAGATGGTCCAACTGTAAACATCACTGCATAAATCTTTTATCCCCCAAAGTTTTTTTTAATTAACTGAATCTTAAGTGATCTTCTTTAATCACATGATTTTATTTTGTGAAGTTAAGTGTGGGACATTATAGATAAATTATTAGAAGACAGTAAGATCCATTTATAACCCACCAAATAACTTTTTTAAAGATCATATTCTACAGTAGACAAACATTATATGTTCAACTTCTTCCCAGTAGCCACCCATACAGTACACAGGCTCCTCATTGATAGTGTCTGATAGTAGGTATGTAGACAAGTGACAAATGTTTGCTTCACATTTAGCTACCTGATTGTAAAGATCACTCGTTACATGCTTATAATTGTGTGTAGTTTATTGTTCTATAAGTACTAACAGAGTGACATGTGTGCATACGTATTTAAAACAAAAACACAGCTCAGTGCTTTGTCTCTGACCCACAACAAGTTTCTAAACCAGAATCCCTGCACCTCCTTTCCCACTTGTGCCTTTAAGTCGCGTCTCAAAAATACTCTCAACATGCCAGCCGCTCTTCAGCACATAATCCCACTGCTTGGACTGCAGACTTTTTATTCAGCTACCTCCTCATCGCATAAGTATAACCTAAACCAGAGCAGAACGGAGCTCAGACTTGTTTGTGGCTTCTGTTGTGTTCCAGCGTTAGAAGACTCCTTCAACATTCATCCTCCATTCCAGTTTCCTCCACCTCCTTCTCCTCCTCCTCCTCCTCCTCCTCCTCCACCAGCGCGACACAGCTTAACCGAGCTCTCCTCTTCTTTACCGCCTTCATCCTGCAACTCCTCCACATCCTCCTCCTCCTCCTCTGTCATCACTCGATCACACCAGCCCTCCTCTGGACACGAGCACTTGCTTTTAACCCCCAGTGAGCTGTCGCAACACATTTTCTCACCAGATTGAATGCTTATTCGGCGCACCAAAATGTGTCAAATGCGTGTAAAAACACATTGCATATTATTTACAGCATCATTATGTTGACAAACTTGCTTGCCTGAACTTATCTGTGTCATCTGTTGTCCAGACATCCTGAACGGTGCTGCTCCTCTGCCTCCATCCAGACGATACGCTGACAGCGTTAAAGGCTCCAGAAGCTGCCTGGAGTACGACCATTTACCACCCAGTCAAGGTAGAGGTGGATCTACTTTTCAGCAAACTGAATATGCACTGATACGGCTTCAACATGTCCAGCTGTAGGCGTGTAACTTTAACAAAACCCTGAAAATGTAGCTCTAACATACACTTGCTGAGCGCTGTATGAGGAGCACCACACCTCCCTTTGCTCTCATGGATCCCACCACACATTGGAAGTGTTCTCTTTGCTCTGTGTGGACATGATTCATCAAGAAATTTCTGCAGATTTGTGAGCATCCACGCTGCCAAGCTGCTGTTCTACCACATCCCAAAGTGTACAGGATTCAGATCTGATGACAGAGAGGTCAAAGAAAGCCACTGAACTCATAAGTCAAGTTCACTAAACCAGTTTGAGACAGCTTTTGTTTTGTGACATGCTGCATTCCGAGCAGAAAGACGCCATAAAGAGAAGGTAAACTGTGGCCATAGAAAGATGGGCATAGTCAACCATGACTGCTGCTTGCATGCTGAAAGTGTCTAAGAAAACATCCCCCACACCTTTACACCACCACCAGCATCCTGCAGTGTGGACTCAAGACAGGCTGGATCCGTGGATTCATGCCGTTAGTACCAACCTCTGAGACTACCAGCTGCAGCCTCAGCATAGATGGAGATTCCTCAGACCAAGCTGTGGTTTTCCATCTTCAGCTTTACAGTTTTGGTGAGCCTGTGCCCGCCCACTACAGCCTCATGTTTCTTAATCCTGGCTGACGTTAGTGCAACCCAACTTGAAGCTCTTATGTTGTAGCCCCTGCATGTCCAGACTGGGCGTCCTGTGAGTCTGATTTGCGTTTCTGCTCAGCAGAATAGTAAATAATGGTTAACTGAGTCACCTTTCTGTCAGCTCCAGCCAGTCTGGCCTCTGATCTCTCTCACCAACAAGGCATTTCCCACAGAAGACCTGCTGCCCATTGGATGGCTTTGTTGTGTGCTCTATTCTAAATAAACTGTAGAGACAGTTCAGATAAACAGGTTCAGAAATACTACAAGCTGCCTGCCTGCCGGTCAAAGTCACTGACATAACATACTTTCACCACTGTGATGTTTGGGGGAGCAGCACAATGGAGTGATGGATAGCACTGTCACCTTACAGCTAGAAGGTCCTGGGTTCACTTCTTGTGAATCAAGTGGTATCTCTGTTGAAGATTCATTGTCTTGGAGAGCCTTGTGAAGAGCAGAGCTGAGCAGCTTGGTCAGTGATGACCAGTTTGTACAGAATGTGAAGTTGGTCTGAAACTTTGAATTCCCACTTAGTTTACTTTGTTTTGGTGTTTTAGTTGTTCGTTGTAGTTCAGTAAGTTGTTGTTTTTAAATCAAGATTGTACCAGAGTATTCCTTCAAGCAGGCAGACCACTTTTACCATCTCTGGCATCCCATTGTGGAGCGGAACATCAAAGGAAAATGTGCAGTGAATGCTGCAGTATCGGCTTTCTAGTGTGAAAGACTGCCATCACTCAGTGGCAAACGTCTGAACTCTGAATGTACTGGAAAGAAGTGTCCTTGAACTAAAATGTCTGCAATCTTCTCCTTGACCTTTAATGACGTTCTCAAATTTCTGCCTGCGTCTCGTTTTCCACTGGCATGATTTCTCTCTTTGTTTTCCTTCCAGCATCGATGGACAGTTTGCAGGCCCCTGCGAGGCCGCCCAAACCATTTCCCAGGAAGCCCCCTCCAGACAGTCACCTGGGAATATCCCACAGCCCAGAGAATGAGGACGCAAAGATCGCCAAGCTGATGGGGGAGGGTTACTCCTTCGATGACGTGAAGCGGGCGCTGATGATCGCCCAGTACAAAGTGGATGTGGCCCGACACATCCTGCGAGAGTTTGCCTTAGTGACCCCGAGACTAAATTTCGAGTCCTAAGAGACTATGACAGGGGAGCACAACAATTAAGCTGTGCCTCAAAAAAGGGCTTCTTTATCCTGCTTGTCTCTAAGCGTTGGAAGAAACTGTGATCAGTGGAAACAAATGTTTTAAGAGACTTATCGTTTGTTGTCGAACAGAGATGGCAACGCACAACAAAGTGGCTAAAACCAAATCATGGCAGGACACAGAGACGTAAAAAGGGAGAAAAGACTATCTGTGAATAATTTTAATCTGTGAAACTAAAAAAAAAGACGCTTGTTGTTGTTTACAGTGAGCTTTGCTGGTGCTGGCCTCTGGTTTTCAAATGCTCCTGTATGATGTGGGGCTTGGCCTGTATGCCTGTTTTAAAGTCCTGATCCTGCTGCTGCTACTGTTCCTTTCACATCTCGACACTCTCCAGTCTTTAAAGTTTGAAGGGTCTTTCAAAAGCGCAAGACATTTCCAGCTCATCTCAGCTTACATGCACAGCCAGTTGTTCGGGTCAGTTTCATTCACCACCAGTCGGGGGAGCCAGACTCCACCGTTTCTCTTGTATAACTCATTTCCCTGTTTCTCTCTACAGTGTCTCCTGCTTTACCTATTTCCTGCTTTTCTGTCCCTCATGTATTCCTCATTAGAGAATACGCTACTGTTTGTCCAGAGTCTGTTTTATGCCTTATTGATTTCCTTGTTTCCCCCGACCTGGAGAAACTGTATGACGGCTCCAGAGGAGCAGTCTTTTTAGGCTCTGTGTCTTACTCAGTATTTATAGTTTCAGTCTTTGGTTCTGTTCCTGGAACAGAGGATTAATGAGATGGGACTTTGTAAGATGAATTCCTTTCTTTACAGCCATGTGAAGCTATGAATGTATTTGTTCTGCATGAATGAACTTCTCTGTGCACTCTTCTCAGGCCTTGTTATGCCCTTGAATGATTAAGTGTTGGAAAATGTTTAATGTGGTAACAAAACAGAAAAGTGTGGCTTTTTTTCTTCTATGGTATAAGCCTGGCGATTGTGGCAGCGTTTCAGCTGAAGCATTTAAATGACAGGAGTGATCCTGTTGTGTAGAACAGCCATCTGTTAGAACACAGAGATGATCAGCTCTGCAGCATAACACCAGAGCCTCCTTTTTCCACTTACACAGTCATCATACGGTAACAATGCCTGTATTCCCGAGATGTTTGAGGAATAGCTGTCGGCCTGGCTTGGTGTTGGAGTCACTTGGTAGCATTTTTCCTGATGTAAAGTTTTCAACACAATTGTGGGACCACAGTAGAGATGAACAGAATACTGCGGAGCACTGAAACTATGAGACGAGTCATGTACACGTTCCCTGTACAGAACAGGTGAAGGTAAAACGCCCTGACCTCAGAATCTGGAATCAGCTGTATTTCTCCCCAGTGACTGCAAGATGTCCCGTCTGTTCAGTTTATTTCTGAGTTAATATGCATGAGGTAGATCCAGTAGTTTGACATGAGACAGACGCTGAGGTGGAGCCTAAAATCCAGCTTTTTGGGTCTTTTTTTCATAGAAATTAATTCACTAATAATTCTGCGTTATAATTTGGAACTCTGTGATAATGTTGTTGTCACTAAAATAATTGTGTAGATGTGGAGGTGGGAACACACTGACATCAATACAAAGTGTGACAGGTCAGGACATATGAGCAGTCAGATGGTCAGACAAGTTGTAAACAAACCAGCAGATGATAAAAATAATTTGGTATTCACTTTATCATTCTCTATTTTCTTTCTAAATATAATTGTCTAGTCTGTTGGGCTGTTGCAGAAATGTCCTGTCATATGAACACTGTTCAGGACTGTTGCTGAGTTTCCAGACTGCTGCAGTTTGCAGAGTTGTTATGACAAATGGACACGATGAGCAAAAATGTAGAAATAAGAAAAAATGAAATCCTTAAAAGTCACACATATTTGCTATGAGTTATATTTAAATATGAAGATGTCTTGGTAGTATTTGCTACCATAACAGTTACAACTGGAAGATGTAAGAAAAGACAAGACTGTGTGTCAGACTGTCCAGGAAACAGTGGACTAACACAAACACTGCTCACCTGCTGGGTTGTAAATAGATCAAACAGACAGAAAACTCACATTAAATCAGATCAGAATAATTCAAGTGATGGGATTTTTTTCTCACAGAGGGGCTTTAAACTCCTGACTGACTTAGTCCCTCTGTGAGCTGGGCTTCTCAGGGAGCAGATAACGCAGGTCAAAGTTTCTATAAGTTGGATGCAAAATGGAAATGAAAAGATTCATTTGGAGCATCCTGATGTTACATCAGGAACATTTCCATCCACCTCTATTCACAATGTCACAGCATGATTCCAAGCATGAAAGCACTTCAGCTGACTTTAGTGGTGTGTTCATGGACTGGAACAAGTCAGGGATCCTCAGAGGCCAATTTACGATACCATAATTACGTATGAGGTTATCTTAGCCTGGATCCTAAACGTCTCAAGGTAAAGCCAGGTTACTGTAGGTACTGGGTTAACAAATGGAGGCTGTGTCCATGTAAACAGTGAGTATGGCTGTGTGCCAACCATGGGGAAGAAAATAAAACAATGTAGTGTCATAAAGACTAAATAGCCATCAGTAATTGTGCTCATTTTAAATCGTTTTATTTTTCTTGTCTGGTCAGAGGATGCGTTCACCCCACAGCATGACATTTCTTCCATTTATGAGCAGCACCTTAAAGGGGAACGCCACTGTTCTTTAAAATGTACATATGTTAACGGTAGGGTCTGAGTCAGTCTGAATCATAATGTGTGTGTGCAAGGAGGATGTCTCTGAACTCTGTGATTATCCACACTGCAGACAGAGCCTCACAAACATTATTACTGTTATGTTATTGAGGCTCAACAAAGACACATACAGGAACATATAATTAAACACTTAGGGAAGGCTTAGTCATCAGCTAAGCGGCTTTATCTGTTCCTCTAACAATAGGAGAGAGAAAGTCTGGATTCATTCACACTTTGACGTTCAACATTGATTCTAGTGACAATGGTGTTTATACGAACTCACAAAACGTGCTTGGATCCTCCAAATAAAACCTGCTAGACTGCTCTCTCTGTTCAGCTGACAGGTGAGAGAACAGTCAGTGTGGTGGAGTAGAAGATGAGCTAAAACACTCATCTGGTGTATCTGCAGTGGACTGACAGCAACCAGCAGGAGATTCAGACATGAGACGCAGTGGCATTCCCCTTTAAGGTGAAGCTTCATTTTGCACTGGTTGGTTTTTACTTTTGTTTTGTCAAATTGAAATGACCCAAAATTGTCCATTTCATTGGACTCCCTTGTGAAGGGGGGTAAGTGGCCTTAGGTTACAAGGGGCAGTTTTTATTTTCTGATTACATTTTATAATAATGTGCTCTGGTGACAAAAAAAAAAAAAAAAAA